TATATGTATTATTTTTTAATTATATTATTCATCTCTAAATACTGTACAACTAATAAACAAACTAGAATAAATTACGTGTTAACGATATAAAAATACGTTATTGTCTGAATAATATAGATAACAGCGGTATTTTTTACAACTTTAAAGGCTTTGGCCCACTGTAAAATTTAAGCTGTGGTTATACAGAGATGCGGAGAATCTCAAGGCGTTAACTTGTTGTTGTATTTTGTAACATAGAGGTCAACGCGTTTTGTATTCTATGTTTTCGGGGTGTGCGCGTTGTTTGTTCGTAACATCCACCCCTAACATTACAAGCTGTTGTGAGTCGTGCTTGGGTTGAAAAGGAATACAAAATCGCCTTCGTCATTCTTACTGCAAATTAAAAAAATAAAAGAGTCTTTAAAAACAGCCGGGTATTTAAAGCTTCGTTAAAAAATAAGATTGATACGTTAAGTACCCTTTAATGACACTAATAATAACATTTAAAGAAGCTTAAGTCTTTTCTGTATCTGACTGTAAGAAGATTAAATGTACAGTCCTGTTGACTGTACATTTAATCTTCTTACAGTCAGATCATCATTTTATACAAATGAGGTAATTTTTTAACTTGATTTTATACCTCAATGCGTAGAGTTCAAAATCAGTTGTGGTTTGGCATATTGCGGCAACATGAAAAGCTGCTCTGTTAGTGTAAGAAACAAACCACTTTTGTTTACAGATTTAAAACTATTTTTTTGAAACTTAAGATCACGCAGAAATTTTTAGATCTGTCTGAAATAAAAGAATTAGAAAAAAAGGCGAAATGGCTTTTAAATAATAGTATTTTGCTTTTTAAATCATCATCAGCAGTACGATGCTCATTGCTCAGCATAGGCCTCTCTCATAAATCTAAAAGGCGATCGGTCCTGCGCTGCCGCAATCCAGCGGCGTCCTGAAACCATTGTCTGATTGTTGTTCCACCTTATTGGACGGCCACCATAACAGCCATCGATTCTTCTGGCTATATGTCCCTCCCACCACCACTTCAGCGAGCAATCCTTCGAGAAAATTCTTTGGTGCTTTTTGAATAAGGCGATGGAGTTTGGATAAGAGGAGCTTTCTGCCCTTATTGTCCCCGTACACTTACTGTTCTCAATCCTTCATATGTGTACCATACATCGTAGCGAGTTTTATCGCGTACCATATAAGAACATATGTATCAATATGGAGCATATTTAAAAAAATCATAAAGAAAGTAAAAATATTTATCAAATTTCGCAATAACTTGCATACGAGAAGAAATTGATTTATTGTAATTTATATCAAGCTGTTTATTTATATCAAGTTGTATTTACTTTTTTTTTATTTTTCACATTGATTTCTTTGATATTTAATAAGTTCAATGTTAGTGTGCTGTGCTGATGATTTTTGTAGACAATTATTTTCAATTTTAAAACTCAATTGGTCAATTAAAAAATGCGTAAGCTTTTGCGAATTTTGCTTAACTTCGCATTGCAAATTTACACAATAAAATATTTCGAAACAATGGGTTTAATTTTATAGCAGCTTCAGTAATGAAACTCAAGTGCAAATCACATTTACTCCTTTCTTCTCATAAAACGAAACCCTAATTAATGTTTAATTCTTAAGGATTATCCTTAAGTGCTGTAACATATAGTGAAAATTACACAGTATAATTGTTTGAAAGTATGAACCCATCAGTGAGTATGCAAACAGGTTAGCTACCTTTGCAAATGAGTAAAGATATTTTTATTTCGAATTAAATAATTGCAAAATATGAAGTGTTAGAGGGAAAAAGATCTACTACTACTGGCAGCACTAATTGTCGATTTCACTACGGGTAACCCTATCTGTCAGTTATTTGTCACTGTCACTTTGACATGCGATCAGTATTGCGCCAATACACTATTAGGTTGTCATTCTTGAAATACTATTGGAATCGACTTCTTGATTCTTATATGTAATATCACTCTATTAATGCTCCCGTTTTTGCTGTTGCTAGCGTAAAAGTCATTTCCATGGAGAGACAAGTATTTTCTTTTAATTAATGGAATTGAAAACACCATATGAATCCAATTATGGGTGGCAATGGTTCTGGTGAAGTAGTATCTAATGTCTCAAATGCCTTCCCAAGACCAGATGAACTAGTTTTTGGCCACCCATCCAATGACCGGCATTCGCGAGTGTATGATCTTATTCTATATAAATTATTACATTACATCTTATATACTACTGAGCACAAATAATTTGTCACTTTTTCAAGTTTCTTCGGTGATGCTGTTTCATATTAAAATTCACCTCAACCCATACTTTAACTGCATGAATTTTATTTTTTTATATTTCTTATATTATAGGGATGATGACTGGATAAAGAAAACGGAATTCTAATTAGTCCATCAGTCAGATAATAGAAAAATATTAGACACTTATTTTTGCTTCAATGTAACAAGAATTAGCTTAGATAATAGGCATTTAAGTGGAGGTTAGCAAAGTCACAACTGTTACAAAATGTACAAAGATGTGACGTCATGAGACATTTCAACTCAATGTATCGCAGTAATTTAATGATTATACAAAAAGTAAAAAAAAAGTGTTCAATATTCTTCAATAAACTACCCGACTACTTAAATTAGTCATCCTCCCCATTAAGTTATAAATTTACCTTTATTTAGTTTATACAAAACCACTCATTTTTATGAGGCAATTTTGAAAATATAAAGTTTCGAAAATAAAATATTCACCAAAATCTTTTCGTATTTATTAGCGAAGATATCATACTCTATTGAATTCAAAGTTCTTTTTTACTGAAGTCGATTGAAATTGTATATTTTAGTCTACTGTCTCTTCTTTACTGAATAAGAGTCACTCTTATTACGTAATACTAAGCGTTACCGAGTAGGTGTGTACTTCACTTAATTGTTCTTTCATACGTTGCTATAAAATTATAATGACCGTCTAAAAACATTTTGTAATTTCCCTTTGTTATTAAGAAATGATATGGTCTTTTATTTTCATAAAAATATTTAAAAATTATTCAGTAGGTATGAGTAGACTTTACCGGGAAAGCTAAATCCAAAATGAATTTAGACGCGTTATAATAAAATATAAAATGCCTCTAATCAGTGTATTATTCTGAACAGGCTCTAAGTATGCTATATTGGTTGCCTATAGCGCATGTGATTGTGCGTTATTTAAATAGATTTATGATACAAAACCAATATAGAAATATAAATATACGTAATTAATTGTGTGTGTAAAGTTTTTGCCAATCAATCCAAATGGATAGAACCTTAGAATACGCCTAATTTAAACTATAAAAAATTGGTTTTTTGTTTGTATGCATCGAATAAACTCTGAAACTACTGGACCGGTTTTAAATATTATTTCTCCTATATGAAGCTACATGATTATAATTTACGCGGGCAAAGTCGCGGGAAACTAGCTAGTGCTATATGTGATATTACATTTACTATTTTGTTACAGACGCAGATTACCAGATGACGTAAAAACGTGCAGAAACTATGCATATTTACAAGAAATATATGATGCTGTACGAGCGACTGATAGTAAGTTAATGTATTTTGTTACCGATAAATATGGTACAGCCTTTGTCCGTTATATTTTTTTCTAATCAAGAAGCTTGAAGGCATTCTCTCAATAATTACTTAGTTAGCGATATCAAGAGTAAAATACCCTGCACTACCCACCTCATTGGTGTGGCAGTTGATTGTACAAACAATATCAGACTGGTATCCAAAATGATCTACTTTCATTTTAAGAGAGTGTATCCAAGTTTCAAGGCTCCTTGGAAAGCATGCCCTGCAAAACAACCTCGAGGCACAAAACCTTTTTGCGGTAGAGACTGATCCTTACGAATCAATTTGAGTGAGTGACGTGACGCCAGGTGCACCCTCCTCGCAATCAGCCTTGTAATGTGAATATACATAGTAGACTATAAATGATAGTTCAAATTTTAATGCCAATTGACACAAAAATTTGATATACTATGAATATGAAGTACGTAGTATGAGAAGCACATTGCTTAGTGTTCTGTCTGTGATGTGTAACCTTCGCAAGGCTCGGTCATATGACGGGTCATAGGCTTCAAACAAGTCGATGGACGCGGCTGCATCTGCAGTCATTAATCAACCCTTATTGGACCTGCGCGGTTAGTTATAACCCGTTTTCCTTATTTGGTTCCTGATAAGGAAGATGTGGTCCAATGACACAAAATTATCAAAGTCATATCGATTGTACCACTAAACATTTGATTTGCAATAAGACATATGTAAAGAATATTTATGTTATTTTCAATGTTTATTATCTTTGTTTCAGGTGTTAGCACCAAAGACTTTATGGCTAAATTAGGAGAGTATTTAATATTAACTGCCTTTTCACACAATTGCCGTTTAGAAAGAGCGTTTAAGTGCTTAGGCACCAATTTAACTGAATTTTTGGCCACACTTGACAGTGTACACGATGTTTTGCATAATCAGGTAAGAATTTTTTTTTAAATATAATTGCACTTCTTCAAAGTTCATCCCCATATTACTTATAATGTACAAATCTTATTTTTATATCTTTTACACTTACGCCCTTATACTTTTCATATAAAAACACTACTCTTTCAATCTGATCTTTCTTCAGATTGTCTGTTATGCTGTCGCAGTAGAGTGAACAGCACGTCAAGCTACACAAAACTATCAAATTTCTTCACTTGATTTTAAATCTTAATTTGTTGAACGTAGACCATAAAATGACTTTCTGGCAGCCGTGTGTACATACGCGTTTCTATTTCGGTGTTCCCAAATCCCTTACAAGTATTATACCATTTGATGATTTGTAAAATTAGTATCATCGAGGACCTATTGCAGTGGCTATAGAATCAATTACAATATTTCTATGTGACGTAACATATTTTTGATTAACTTTGTCAGGATGATGCATTCAAAGATGAATCTGCCGAGTATGAAGCTGCTTTCGTGTGTACAACATCACAAGAAGGGAAAATAGAACTACATTTAACTACCGAGAGTGAACCTGTAGCGTACTTGTTGGTTGGCAGCCTTAGAATGATAGCAAAAAGGCTCTATGATACCCAAACGGATATAAAACTGAGAAGCTATACTAACGACCCTAGGAGATTTAAGTAAGTTAACATTTTAATACTAGCGTCCCATCCCAAGAATTTCATTAGGTAAGATTCTAATCGGCTATATTTTTCCGGTTTCTTATCTATTGTCATCCTGAACCCTTTATTTAAAACCTCATTACAGATTTTTGTAAAGGTATTCGATCAAGCATTGATTTCTTTCCGTTTTTATTTATAAACTTAAGATTTTGAACTGTACTGAATGCTTACAGATTATTTTATTAAATATACGATACGTTTCTCATTTATCGTTTATTCTTCAAATATACTTTAAAGAATGTTTTAATTGACTTATTTCCGTGTTACAGGTATGAAATCAATGCAGTTCCATTATCACAAAAGTCTAATGACGAAAGTTGTGAAGAGCAAGAGATTGTTTCACTAGCATCATCGAGTAAAGCCACAGATCTTAAAATCGGTGTCGCCAGCTTCTGTAAGGCTTTCCCATGGCATTTCGTAACAGATAAACGGCTGGAGATGGTGCAATTGGGTAAGTTTAACATTTATTTTAAAGCTTCTTATATCACCATGACCAGCTTAATATCCCTGCCTTTTAAGCATAAACCTATGCTGTCGATAGAATCACATTGAAAGAACGAGTCATCATTATCAAACCAATTGCAAAGTGGTTAACTACCAAATGTGGTAAGATGCAACAGGAAGCAATTTCCGGAGAAGATCGAATAAAAAGTTTTTGACCAACCGATCAAAGTCAGACAATCTACTGAGCTTACGGAAAAAATCTCATACAACCTTATCGCTTACCTAGAGAGATATTATAGGTATCACATTTTTAACGCTAAATAAAGGCTTGGAACATATACAGAGGACCACTAAAGTAAAAATATTATAGTCAGAATGCTTATTTATAGTTTTAGAAGCTGTGTCTACAAGTGATTAAGAAGACAAAGCGCTTGGCGACCGTTTTATTTATGATACTGCATTTCTAAAGCACATGCTTGTAAAATTTTATGGTGACTGCTCGTAAAACACGAAAAATAGCAAGTGATAGAAATTCTTGAAAGTTTTCTGTTAATGTTAAATAACCATATAAGTACTTATTGAAGAGCATTATATATAATTACGTTAAGATTCATATTGCAACGCTGTAACAAACCTTTTCATGAAATAATAATAGCATCTTTTACATAAATAAAAATTATGCCACAAATCGAAGTAAAGTGCACCTTTAGATTATGTGTATTTATTAACTTGTGCTTTAAATGAAGTAGTTATACCTCTATGGTTAGACAACCGCCGAGGCCGAATGGCTCGCACTTTGGTTTCACGGTGCCGCCATTTCTCGGTCGGATCAATGTAATAAGTTTTTTTTTTCTATCTTGTTTCGGGGCTCTCTGTGGTATGATAATTGTTGGATATTGTCGTAAGACAAAGTTTTACCTACTGAGTTTGGGATAACATTGTATGTGATTAATATGTATCATTAATTATTTCTGGCCGTAGTAAAAAGCTCGAACTAACGAATCGGACCCCCAATTCGCATTCATTTTCATAGACTCCTAGAGGTCGATACAGAATAATTTGGATATCAGTGGTGTATGCTTCGTATAGCATCAGATTTCCAGACCAAAATAACTTACGTAATCGTGAAAACATGATATCTCTAGACAAAACGAGACAGATGATGCTCGAGTAATCGTTGTAAAAGTATTTTGATAACAAACCGAACTTTATGAGAGGATAGCTTACATATTTTTTCATTAAATAAGTTATCTGCAGCAGAAAAAAAATATTTACTTGATCTAAATAACTGTTGTACCATAGCAGCAATGCTACCTAGTATAATTAGTTTCATTTAGTAATGAATTGGACTACTCACTAATGTTGCATCAACATGCAACATTATTTGGAATTATATACAAACAAATGCGACCTAAATTATTTCGTACTTCAAGCACCTACTGTTTTACGTTCTAGTCTTGAAATTACCTTCTTAGGGAATTTTACGGTGTTAATGTTGAAAATTGTGTAAGAGAAATATTGGGTGACCAAACCGCGGACATGTGGACGGTGGGAAATCTTGTATTATACAAAAATACTAGGTGGGTCAATTAGAAAATAAGGACAGTAAAATATTTGATACGTGAATATGATTTAAAAAATATGGCTCAGCTCTACCGTTAATCATACTTTTACGAATCTTTATCAGAATGGGGCACTAGATATTTTAAAGATGGATCATTCTAAGAATACTGCATGTGTGGAATCACCGACCGTCTAGTCTCGGTGACCCAGAAACTTATATAACCTCTCGAGTCTGCGGTCACGATTCTAGTTATGCGAACAGAATACATATTATTTCAGTAATTCACATGCAGTATGTGTTAATGGTACTCAGTTAATTAAACAGAAAGTCAAACTTGTTTTACTTAGATTGATACCATTGAATAGATCACTTATGAATGGTTCAAATTTGCTAGCATTTAAAACTTGTGGAGAAGACACAAATAAACTACTTAACGTATAAAAAACTATATTATTACAATGTCAATTACATATTAAAATATTTTTTAATATAGTTTAATAATAGAAAAATCACTTGAAAAATACCTTGGGTATTTATTGTCTTAATAATCAGATATCTTATCTTAAAATATTATAAAAAAAATAAGAAATATTATGAAGGTTTATTGACTTGTAACAAATTGAACAAAACAATTAGAATATAATGTGGATGTCACATACACCCGCAATTTTCCTAAACAGCCTTTCGATCTTGTCTCAATAAATAGCGAGCATATGAGAAACAGTATGTTTTGTAAAAATCTTGTCATTGTCATTTTTTATTAAATTATTATTATTACGCCATCAGATAACTATGATAGCTTAATTTATTAAAAGGGAAAATGAGCTTTGCAGATAAGCATTTCTGGTTCCAAGTTACAATAAGTCAAGTTGTAGTGACCAAAGATTTTTATCGAACTTTATACCCCTTAAATAATAGTAATACTTCTTAGAACTGTGACTCTTTAGATATTTTTCTGTTATGTTGGAACAAGACATTTATTGTTAAAGATTTGTATAATGACGTATACGTTTTTACTGTTTTGTTTCATTACAAATTCAAATTTGACATTTTAACATATTCAGTGAGCGCAGTGGAGAACCCAAATTATTCTAAGTTGGAATATGTAAGAGAAACTGCTGAATAATTTCGTATACTGGTGAATTTTCTGTGATGCATTATTTATAGTCTTGTCTGCCACATCCAATGCTGCACTACAACCTTAGTAAACTTTAGTGTTGTCCATGAAAGATACATTTTCAGGGACCGTGTGGAATATTTTTAGACAGATTATGTAAGAACCTGTCCTATTGTTTAAAGATATTATTTCTTGTTTTAAGTGAATAATGAATATAACGTGTTTAAATTGTAATCTATTTAATGAATTAGACCGACCGACCCTTGCAAAAGTTGCTTAACAACAACGATCGCGGGCCGCGGCGCTTATCTACTACGCCACCGAGCTTCTCTATCGCATCATCATCATCAGTTCAGCCGAGAGACGCCCACTGCTGGGCATAGACCTTCCCAAATATCTCCAAAGAAAACGGTCCTGCATCTCCCGCATCCAGCGCTCCGCCGCTCTATCGCTCTATCGCATACTACAATATATTCTTTAACGGATTAAAGAATAAAAAGTTAAGAATATATTATAGGACATGCCGATACACCCCGATGGAATAGACATTTCACTAATACCACTTTAGTTTGATTAAATTTGTTGACTAAATCTTGTTTCTTACAAAAACATTTTTTTGAGTACAATAATAAATAACTCATAATTGATGCACCAACAATTAGATGACTACTACAATATATTCTTTAACGGATTAAAGAATAAAAAGTTAAGAATATATTATAGGACACGCCGATACACCCCGATGGAATAGACATTTCACGAATACCACTTTAGTTTGATTAAATTTGTTGACTAAATCTTGTTTCTTACAAAAACATTTTTTTGAGTACAATAATAAATAACTCATAATTGATGCACGAACAATTAGATGACCTTCTAGTGATAATTGAAAAATAAAAGTTATTTTATTGAGGTTTCACATCATTAACATCTTTATAGATCTTAATCTAAAAATATGAATGCAAAAATATTTTTGTTTGTTATATAGGACATTAACGTGCCCACGACTTCTACTTTTCATAAGAAAATATTATTTTGAAGAGAAATATTTTGTACATCAGATGTATTTTATTAACCTCGAGTTTTCAATAATTAAATGTTTACAAAAAGTATATTTCACGACTCGAAACTTGATAGATAGCACCATATTTCATTAAAACGAATCTAGATTTATTCTAAATCAAATCAGAAGATTTATAAACCTTCTGTTAGAATTTCATTTCGCCATTTTTTCGACCCACATCTGCGAAGTCACGGACAAAATGATACCTAACGTATTTTTAAAATGATAAAATCTTGAAAAGATTTAAGATTAATACTTTTGGTACTGCGAATAAAAAACTCGCAAACGCCTTTTAATAATTGTAAAACATTTTCCAGTTAATGTACAAAAAGTGAAATAATTATACATGAAGTTATTAAACTCTGATGTCATTTGTGAAGGTATCAACCGTTCATCATATCCCTAAAGAAATAAAAGTAATGTTTCAACAATAAAAGTATTGTAGAAAGAATAAAATTATCTATAATATATTTTACAGCTTCCTTACTGCATATATAATACAATGATTGATCTAACTAACTAACCTACTAATTACTCCCTTTAAAAATATATATATATATATATATATTTTTTTTAAGGGATTTTTATATAATTACTATAACGAACGAGAACAAACTACTCTTATTATTTATTTCTAACAAATTAATCACAGTTAGGTTTTGGTTTAAAATTATTATTTCTCAAAAAGAATTACATCTATACACTTACGTCTCATACAAACATATCCATAATGCTTTACTGGTAATAAAAATGCAATAGGCATGCACACAGCCATCTTGAAAATCTCTTATAAAAAATAACAATCACTTGATTGTCAGAAAAAGAGCTACAATAATTCAGCACCACACAATAAACCAATTATATCACCCTTCAATTAGTTATATAATTAACGTTAGATGAAAGACGATACTTAACAATAAGTTGATTCTATTACGTATCGCATACATTGAAAGCAAGTAGCAAGTTGAGAGATAGAAATTTAAAATAATGCAGAAAAATTCATGCTTCAATTTAAGTTTATATGAGGTGATGGTAATTGTATGTCATTAGGCCTCCGTAAAGAACGTTTATGTAAATTTACTTTTGTTTTAAATGACAATTGAGAATGGATACTTTTATAGATATTTGATTTTTCATAATTAATGTAAGCAAATTAATAATTATAAAAAGCATAAAAGTGTGATTAACGCTAATATTATATTAAACACTAACAGAAAAAACATGTGTTTATATTCGTTTACTGTCTTCATCCGTATTATATTTATTTTTACTTTAACTGTTTACCTGTGTCAGGGTAAAAAAAAATTGAATCGATTAATCTCGACCCGTAGATTATATGCCTCTGATTTTCGTCAACGCACGATTGATCAAATGTTAAGATTATAAATCTACAAAACAAAATGGTGATTTATCATTCCAAATCGACCCCGATACGAAAGTATTATCGAGTGGAAAACAGTAAGCTAATGGACGCATTTGAACGATTGCTTTTATTCGTTTTAATAAGTACATTTCAATGAAAATTTGTATAAAATTTTTTTTTTTATTTTTTTTCGAGTGTTTACGATTAAAAGAAAACTGAATTGTTCTCCTGATCGACGTCACGTAAAGCATCAGTATCATGTTTCGATATATAAATAAATAAAAAATAAATAAATATACTCTCAAATTTATCGTTCTGAAAAGCAACTAAAACTGGTGTAAACCAGTTAACTTAAGAATTTAATAAATTCAAAATCAACATTAAAAAGTGTATTTGCCTATTGTAGCGCAGTGGTTACAATAAATATCTTGCTCAGATCCAAAATCAAGTAGATTTAAGTAAATTCAAAACGATCATAACACCCAAGCCTTTGAAAATTTTAGCCCATTTGCGTGTCCGTGCTTCCTTATCTCATTAATCTTCAATAGTGCTTGTCATTAGCTGCGCAATAATTTAAAGGGTTAAGCTCTTCCCATTGTTTTAAGTCTAGGAATCAAGAGGCTTACTACGGCTAGTGACGTAGACTTGACATTTAATTGTTTCGGTGTTAGGACTAGGCTATGCGCGCATTCTCATTTAATATCGTAATATAGTATGATAAAGAGAAGAAGCTTTGAAGATGTGGCCGCAGTTTGTGATCTTGTGTGCACAATCTAAGATTAAAACATGTTTTATTGAGATAGATAAATAGTCTGAGAGATCGTAACTCAACAAAAAAAAAAAAATAACAAAGAATGGTCTCCATATAAATTCTAAGCAATAATGTTCATACAAGTAGTAGGGCAATATTCTTGCTATAAGAAAACGCTGAAAAGACACGTTTGTTGCATGTCCTTAAAAATTTTAACTCAGCATTTGTTTCAATAGTAATAAATCATCTGTGATAACTGTCTCATTATAACTAATTATGTCTTATTATATAATTCATGAAACACAGCCTGGTGAAAACCTTTACCCTTTGATTATATATAACCAAAGGATGTGCCTCAACAGTGACAACATTAATAGACTGATGGTGGTAACATGACTGATATTGAGAAGCTCGATGGCGTAGTGGCTGTCAAGCAATTTTTGCAAAGACTGGTCATAAGATGGATGACCAAAAAAATATTATCTCGAGCTCCTCCTTAATTCAAAAGACACGTTAAGCCTTCGCGACTGCATCTGTAATCGTCAATACCCGCTTGGTGGGTCAAAGCCCCATTCTTCTTACTCGACTCGATTCCGGAAGATCTAAGATGATGATGTTAATAATGGTGATTGTATAACGATTTTTTTTATGTCAACAGGTGGTGGATTCATGCGCCTCTTCGGCACTTACCTTGCGACTCACGGATCGTCACTCGGCACATACTTTAGACTACTGCGGCCAAGAGGTGTTCCTCTAGACTTTCACGAGATTCTCAAAAGAGTGAACACACCGTTCATGTTCTTCTTGAAACTTCCAGGATCTGCTTCTTTGGCTGACGTAAGTATTTTTTATAATAGAAATAATAACAAAATGCAAAAGTCCACAAAATCTAGTGAAGTGTTCTTTCTTTTTAACCTGTACATCAAAGATAAAAGATGTCTATAAAATGTTGCTACAGTTCGGTCAATATAAAAATCACATTTTATCACCTATTAATCTAATGAGTTGATTTGCTTAAAATGTTTTACGAGAGTTTAATAATGTTTCGTTTCTTTTAGACTTCAATATACCTATTACAATTCTTTATCTACGAGTATCTACCTATCTCTATAACACTATTTTTATGTAAAGATAATTATAAAGATATGTGTGTTACCATCAGAAAAATACCGAAATTAACCCATGAAAATAACTGTGCTGAGCTCTATTCATAAATTACCTAAATGTCGTTTCAGACGTTTATATATAAAGGTATTTCAAAAGAGGCTTTCACTCTTTGTTCTACGTTATTTACTCGCTTTCTATACAAAATAGTGTTGTGTACATCAACCGAAAACACCCCTTTCTTTTGTTGACTATGGGCCTCAGTGGGTCTCAAAACATTGGGTTCTTTGTAGTGAAGCATTTTCGTGTTTGTCCACCAATATAGTGCAGACTGAATGGTGCCGAGTATTTGTATTAACTCATTTAGCTACACAGTAATGGATGTCGACGATTTCTTTAGGCGTGGCTGGTTAATTTATTATTATGACATCTTAAATATTATGGGACGGAAAATTGGAGATTGCTTATTATTTGACAATCATTCAACGAATTGTATTCGAGTTCGTGTCTGGGTATAAAATGGGCTTTAATATTAATTATATAGAAAAATAAAATTGTTGTTACATTGATATAGTTAAAATTTTTGGGGTAGTTATCGAAATAATCGTTAGGTAACAGCTAGCCCATGTTAAAGAATCTATTAGTTGTAGAGGTATATGTACATTGTCACTATAATGGGTATAGGTATAACAGTATTATTAATAAACAAGGTTAAGCGTTCGAGTAAATTTGCAAATTTGCTGAGACTGCACTTGGTATTAGTCAAAACTTATATTAGGTATTAAAAAAGGCGTAGAAAAGCTTTGCTTTTTCTCTGTATAATATGAATTTGAACTAATACTAATAGCAATTTTAGTGTAAATTTACTCTAAACCTTGTTTATTAGCACTAATAGAGTTTGTGATAACTATTTAGAAAATTAAAGTAACTGAATACGAATTGTCGGGTTGTTTAACATGCTTAAATAAGTTTGAATTTACTATCGCACAACGTTTTTGATGGTCGAAACCAATATCTGTATAAAGGTACGAATCTTTCTCCATCCAGTCTTAAGTAACGAGACATAAAATCGGTTACGCAATGAGCTCGTTACGACGGATTTAGCAATGTAAATAGATGATCCTGGTTGTTTGTGTGACCCTTAACTATGTTTGGAGAAGGAATTGAGCTTGTACTTGGAAACGGTTTACTAGAGGATTACGTTTAACTGAAAGCGCCATTAATGCAGCCCAGGAATCGGATATCTGCTTATTGCTGTTCTAAATCTGACTTTGATTTTTAAAGCCTTTTGTAACTGACTTAAGAAACAGCATTAAAACCTTTATTATCCTTTTGGAGGCTATTTTATTTAATTTATTCTCTAATTTTACCATAGCGCTGTTACCAATGGTAAATATTTAGGAGAATAGTATAGGTAAAAATTTCATTGCACAAAAATGTCCAATGCTTTAATTCAAGGCACACAAACTTTAATACATATAATATTAGTAGGACTATAGTTTATGTATTTATAGGTAGGACTATATGTTTAGACGACAGATTTTCATTTTACTTTAGATGTTATGTAAGGTATTTATGTAAATTAAACACCTTTTTTCTGTGCTACATTGGCGACGCTTAAAGCTACGGCGTAGCATTGTAGCGCTACGGTAAAATACGAGTAACGCTATTTTGTACTGGCTATTTACCAGCTTGGCCGAAGGGAAGTAATAATAATAATTAAAAGTACTTTTATATATGTATATATCTATAAATATACATAAATAAAATCGTACTCCTTCTCATCGCTAAAGAAAGAAAACAAATACACTTACTAGTTATAATCTTAAGCTCGATGATGTGTAACTTATATTTTTAAACTCTCTGACATAAATGTTTTGGTATAATTGTTCTTGGCATAATAATACTTTCCCACGTTTTTGGTAAATTGCTATAATTATCCTTTAGACTACATTCCCGTAGAATACATTTGCATTTTATTAGATATAATACAAAGATTAATGGGTTAGGTTAAATTAGAACTGACGTGTCGCGGCGTCATCATATGGATATTAAATTATTACGTTAGGATGTCAACCATAAATATTATTCTGATTAGAGAAATTATGCCTACAAAAATATTCATAAGCATGCGTGAATATAATTATGACAAAGAAACGTATGCCATGATATCTTTTGCTTAAGATTTTATGCTAATAGGGAAACTTTATAACAAGCTTCACGATATAAGCCATGGGTACTAAAATTTTATATTTAATTAAAATATTTTTATACCCTAAGCCAACTTGAAGCTTTGGTATTAGATTTTTCAAAATATAGATATTAATCTTAAATTAAAATAAGATTTATCCTTCCATTATCCTTACATTCGTGTCGTCGTAATAATCTTGTATATATAACGTAGTAACACACAACACAGGTAAAATCCCCACACTGTTTCAATCAGCACTATTGGGGCTATATCTATCATCTAATAATGTTGTGTGTCTACAATCTTTCCTTTTGGTCAACGAAGTTTCGATTCATATTGTGTTTGAAAGGTTTAAGTGGATTTCCTTTGTGATTTTTCTCTTGTTCTTTTTTATCGTCGAAAAGTTCGGAAATATTTGTTTCTTTGGGTTTATTTATACAAAGTGTACTATTGGATAAAATATACTATATTATACTGATAACTATATCATGGTAACTCATTAGAAAAGTAGGTTCGAAATAATAATTTGAGGATGATTAAATATTGATTGTATTTGTTTAAAAATGACAGAATGTTTATAAATATGAATGCTTAAATGAAATATTTTGTGATTAATTTGGTGATACTGAGGGTTTATCGGCCATTTCGTTTTCTGCGTCGAAATTGGTTTCTCGCCCGACATTACGGAAAAGAGCTCCAGGGTATGTTGCAGTAAAGTGGAGAGAGCTTATACTTTTCCCCAAATGGCGTGCTCTTTGAGTTTGAGTAGTATATTGTTCAGTTGGATAGGGTACTATCTGTAATATACTTATTTTTTTTATAAAATTTGGTGTGTGTTTTTTTTTATTTATTTAATATTATCTTAGTCTTTCTAGGCCAGTTAATCATTACGTGATGTAGAAACTAACTTAAACGTAAATAAAATTAAATATATTAAAATTGTTGCGAGTAAAATATATGGACCCGACGGGCTTCTTGTTGGATCCCGGGTCTTACCCCCCTGTGGGGGATACTCCGCAGAGGGTTTTACCAGCCCTGCCTCGCTTAAGCCTGTCCTTTTCAGGGTCGTCAGGTGCGGGGTCGGAGAGTCCTATTTTAAGGGTTAAGGTGCATCTTTACCAAAATAAATGAAATAAAATATATACCCTACAGATTAGATATTTTAACGTTAGAATGAAAATACAAGGAACTAAGCAGGTCACAGTGGATATTTAATCATGGAATTACAAATATATTATTTAATCACCGCGTTTATACAAAACTTGTTATTTATTATACAATTGCATGTTTAACGAGAATTCTAACATTTGATTACATGTGAAATAACAACTAGAAAGCATGCAATAGGATTATTGTAAAGTACTATGTACTTAAAACCTTATTGACAAGAGAGGGGTTGGTTTCCTATTTTGTGATTCATATACACTTTTAATGAGAGTGTTAATTATAATAATAGTAGTTTTAATAAGCAAAGCGTATTGAAGTTTCTATTAAAAATTGGGTGGTGGTTAATTAAGTATATTTATAAATTATTTACTACTTCAAAAAGTTACATTTTCCTTAAACTAGGTGAATTATTATTAATATATATATATATATATATATATATTTTTTTTTTCAATTAGATGATATTATTATTTGCTTTCCGAGTATTTATATTAAACATTTGCTTTTTAGATGTACTTCACGGTACTAATCTTTAAATTGATTTATTACTTGAACTTTATCCATTAGGTTATTGTAGGTCTACTGACTAACCGTCTGACATATCAACGCACAACTCCAACTACGGGATCGATCGAGATGAAAGTTATTGACAATTTTTACTATAAATTCTACTTCAAAATTAGCCTTACAACTCCACTGCAGAGGTTTAGGCTTTCCTTATGGACGATTAAGGAGGTTGAGCCATAAACCTCCACGATGATCCAATACGGATTGGAGGGTATTAATGACTTTGATGTAAGGAACGACAAATACAGGGACCATCGGCTTAACGTGCTATCCGAAGCAAGGAGTAGCTCGAGATATTATATTATTTAATCACCCATCCCGTGACAGACCCTTGAGAAAGTTGCTTTATAACAATGATGCGGGCCGCGGCTATTATCCACTACGCCTACTACTCTGATTATAAGAGTTACATATGGGTTTGAAAAATACATTACGACGCGATCGAAGCCGCGCATGAGATACTTGTAAAATATTATATTTATTAAACTTTGTATTTTTTTTATTATTTTTTTTTATTTATATATTGCTATGCTGATAAATATTCTTAATGGGTAAATCATATCTCATTAAGAATATTTACTAGTAAAATATATTCATTCTTAGTACACACGTAAGTTGGATGATCTCATGAATAATCATATAAGTAAGAACAACTCTCCAGAGCTCCATCAGTAAGTTTATCTTTTAGTTAAAGTACCATGGCGGAACTTTCTCCAGCCTCAAGGAGAGTCGCTAGCTTGGCCAAGTTTTCTCAAGAAACTCTTCGACTTATCCCTATAAGTAATCAGCTTACTGCGTCGGCGTTTAATCCTAATGCACTATCTTTCCTTTTGTTTAACTTGAAGATTTTAAATAGTAAATCCTGTTTAATGTTGGCACCTGTTGGACTAAGCCCGGTATTCTTTTTATCTGTACAAATAGAAATGAATTTTAATATTCGTTGGTGCGACAAAGAGTAAATTGAAAGTATAAAGTGTCTTTACTCGTAGCTGAAATGAAAATGGCTTTTGAACACGACCTTCAGCGATTTCTTGAAATCTATACTGAAGTTTATGAATTTTAATTTTAAACTTAAAAATGAGATGGTCCTATGTTTCATAGATTTGGATTTACTTTTTAATTTAAGTCGAAAGGTATTTATGGGTAGTGCCATAAAAATAGAATCAGCAGCTTTGTTTTCATATCAATATAACTAATGTCGTTATGACCAAATAGAGTATATTGTTACATCAAAGTATAAACGTCATTTAAAATAAGAAGTATGTTTGTTTTTATTAAAACCGAATTCAAAATACTTCAAAAAAGTAAGTAATACTAATCTGTAAAGCGGCTTACAATAGCAACAAACATGTACAGGATTTTTGTAGTTTGTTAATATTATATGAAGAGAACGCAATTACAATAATTCCTTAAATTTACATGCGTTGCCTTTGAGATATATATCATTTTGAACATTCTTTGAAGTAAGGTTTATTTTTTATTTTTGGTCGATTATATCTCTATATAGGAAAAAATGGACCGTTCCTTTTAAAATTATTTAGCAGACAATTTATTCATACACTGATTTACAGATAAGTGTTCATGTAGTACGCAATATTATAATATTTATTATATATTATTATTTATAATATAGTTACCCTAATCTAGCAACATAATTATAAAAACTAAACTATCGCTTTCTTTGTTCGATAAATAATTTACATTTGAACGAGAATCGTTTTTTTATTAATCTACGGCTGTTGAATAAATCTATATAGAAACTAGAATAAAATAATAAATAAACATTCTAAATCTTTAAACTAAAGTATCACGTTTCAATATTATTCAAACGTATTTCAGCTAACTCATTATGAAAATGCTTAGAATATAACCCACACGTTATTATTACTCGATGACCTCTAGCAGAGGACAAAGGAAATATTTACGTACAATAAACATAATAACTGATGTGCATTTACAATATAAGTTAGTGTAGCTCTAATACTTCAAACACTTTAACTAATATCTTTTTAACATTTTCCAAAAGTCTGTGAAGACTGAATGCATTTTTTAATATGATAACTTTGCCTTTCGCTTGATGTTTGTTCTTTTAGCGATGATGTTGCAATTTTGTTCTACGTCGAAAGTACCTTTGACCCCTTTTTAATGTTCATTTATGTGGGTTTACAAGCAATTATTATCTATCTATATTATAGGTAATCAGAATGATTCAGACCACTATCGATTCTGTTTGTTCTGTTTGAGTGGTACGTTCTGTTTTACCCCTTAAGTTCTTTAAAATAAAGTCTGATTATTCTGTCATGGTCCTCAATGAAGCATATTACTTGATATTTACTTCTATATTATTTGATATTTACTACATCTTGATATTGGTTTGGGACCAGGCACCACAATTTCTCTTACTCGACGTTTATTAGTCTATTAATGCATGCTAAGCGTTTTTATGGACACTGTTTTCTAATTACAAGGCACAGGTAATACGTCATAGATGGCTAGTCTTCTTCTCCCTCGGCTTTTCATTCTTCCATCTTCTCGTTGTATATCATCAATTTTATCCAATATTCTGTCAACAAATCCAAACTAACAGAACCTCTGTTAACTTTTCCCTCCTTTAAATATTAACTATTACATTAAAATGGAGTTCGGTGGCGTAGTGGATAAGCGCCGCGGCCCCCTATCGTTGTTGTTAAGTAACTTTTGCAAGGATTGGTTACTGGATGGGTGACCTAAAAATTAGTATCTCGAGTTACTCCGTGCTTCGGAAGGCTAGTTAAGCTGTTGTTCCCGGCTGCATTTGTAGTCGTTAATCGGTCGTTAGTTGGGTCCTCGTGAAGGGTCTCTTTTACCATCCATAAGGAAGGCCTGAGTCCCTGCAGTGAAATAAAAACTTGTAGTTAATGTATCAATAATGAGAATAAAAAAAAGCTGTAATGGCAGACAGGGTTTCCATTGAAATGATGAAAGTTTGTTTTTGTTTTGCGTACAAAAGTTGTTTGGTGCTTAACTCGGTTACATATCTAGAACACAAGTACTTACCGAACTGAAAACAATTTTAATACGGAACAGTTTCCGCTGTACAAACTGTAACGTTAGCTTACTGGAATTGCTTAACGAGACGCAGTCGACTTCACTGTGTTTGAATAAGTTTGAATTCGCAGACCAATTAACGTGTTCTCTTATTGCTGCAATTTTGAATACAGTCGAGTCAGACGGTGCTTTAACGATGTTTTGCTCTTGTTAATATCTATATTTGAGCATTGATATTTATAGATTTAATAGTTTGTATATTTCTTATTTGTAATCTATATGTAACCCATTGGCGACATAAAGGTTTAATAAAGTAACCAAAACCTGTTTATATTACTCATACACTGACTTCTATACACGACGAATGTCTAGAAATTTTGAGAACAAAAAATGCCTAGAGAACTAGGTCTTATATTAGGTACTTTATGGTTTTCTCTTATCAATTCCGTAATGCGGAAGTTCAGTAATTTGCGCAAGGGTGAAAGTTCTATGTTTTATCATATTGAGCTCCTGTGTGCTTTGGAACGAATGTTAAGTCATTGGTATCGGCTGTTTCTGTAGCGGTTAAAATTCACTAATCTAAATTGGGCCCGCGCAGTAGGGGCCATAATAGATTGATGATAAATCAATTCTGAACTCTATTCACAAAGTACTGATAGTTATAAAAATTTGGTTATAAAGCGCGACAATGATTAATGGAAGTTGACATTTAGTTCAATAATGGCTGCACCAGTGCGCATCGGTGGGTATTTATGACTACAGATGCACCCGAAACCTACGACTTAGCGAGCCTTACGAAGCAAGGAGAAACTCGAGATAGTGATTCTCGTACGTAATGAAAATTTTCCTATTTTATGCATTAAGCGTTAGTAATATCTAGCAGGCCCTGCCCTGCCTCGGCCCACATGTTACATTTAGTATGGGAATGAACTTAACCCCTCCCGCCTGTTGTCATAATATGAAACCCCGCGCGTGACAAAATACAGTGCGGGCCGAAGAAGACTAAGATATTGATATATTTATACAATATCTGTTCGGGCACGAGATGTATACCGATGCAGACTTATTAGGAAAAATTGTTTATAAACTCCCGGACTGAATATTGTTAGACAGAGAGGAAAATAATCATAATCAACCCCTAGACGAGATGAGAATCCGAGATGACGAATTTACCTAATTTCCTAATTGTATAGTTAATATCTATAGATATAGTATTGTAAATGCAATTTTAAAGAAGCGATCATAAACAATATTATGACATTATTAAAAAAAAACAGTAGATAAATCGCATTTACTTGATATTCTAATAAGATATTTTTCGTTCCAAATTTAATTATAGAACAGTCACTCCACAGTGAAACTCGAATTTTTCTAGACGACTTTATTTAACGAGTCCGTATCTGGGTCGGAAGAAAAAAAAGCGACAGAACCGAGTGAAAGGAGCTCATCAATTAACGAGAACTCTATTCGTTGGAAGTATTCTGTGAACGTCTACACCGTTTGTTTTTAAGATTCAGAATTGTATTAGCGCACTTTTAGTTTGAACACCATAATTAAACGCAAAAAAAAAATATTTTAATTGTTCAAAGATTGTGCCAGTGTTATAATCGATAGAAAAAACAGTGGAGCGTTTGTATCCAGCATCATAATATAAACAACCTAATAAGTTAATATATTTTGCAACTAGTATTATATAAATCTTACATAAAACCTATTGATTTCAGCAGTAGTTCTTTATGCATATGAACAGCTTTTAGTATAAGGATTATTTCACATTTTAGGATTTTTAAAAATTAGTTCTATGTTACTAAAGAGACAAGAGATTTTGCACTTGAAAAGTTATATTGTTAATAACCCTAACCCTATACATGTTTTGAAATTTTTTACAAAAATATAACGTCCTAATAAGTTGTAATAGAACTGTCAATCCTAAATCTCATTTTTAAAACTCCTGTCTTAGTCAATATAATAAATTACGGTGACACATTGAACTGAAATATCAAATGACGTCACATTTTTGTACATTTTCTACATAATTGTACCGTAGTAAGTCCTCACTTTTCAAATTTTAATGTCTAATACATTTTTTGTTAAATGGAAGCAAAAAAATTAACTTATATTTTTCTATTAACTGACTGATAGACTAATTATCACTATTATTGGACGCAATAAGATATAGATATAGTCTTGGCTTTACGCCTCCTTTAAAAATTTACTTTAAAGGCCCGCATACAAGAAATTTTGGTTAACCAAACGTCTGTATACCACTACGAATCCACGAAGAATGAGAACGGACTGCGCTTTGCAATGGAAATTATAGTGGGTACTTTATACATGGGTAGTAGGGTACTTATCACTTTTATGGATTTTCTGAATTGCTTCATCCGTGAAGATGATACCACTGATATTTATTGTATTAATAGAGTAGGACTCTACTACTATAAGGAATACTAATTTTAGTTACCATTACCTACCTCTTTCTGTTGAAAGACATCAATCACTAGATACACTCATAATACTCGTATTATTGTTTTAAGCCTTTTTATTGTGTAAAGTCTGAAATCGTTTTCAACATTGAGATGATTTTTAATATTTAATTAAATTTTTATTAATTAGTCCTAATTTTATTATACTTTTATATAATATATTAGGAAACAGTAATCTGACACATAAAAAGAAGACGATACAGTATGCGTTATGCATTTCCCTCTCTCCGAAGATTTATATTTGACTATTGTTATTAAAACATGTTCATTTTTCCCAGGGTTTGGAGCTAAAGGGTCAGATGGTGTTCTGCTCAGAGTCAGACTCTCTCCTGTTCGTTGGTTCTCCATTTCTAGATGGTCTTGAAGGTCTAACTGGAAGAGGTCTCTTCATATCTGATATTCCACTCCACGACGCAACAAGAGATGTTATATTAGTCGGAGAGCAAGCAAGAGCACAAGTAAGTATATAAGATATATGTATATTATGTATTCTATTTACATATAATATAAAATAATAGAATAAATAAATGTGTATCTGCGCAATAAATAAGTCTCAATGAAATTAATTGAATTTCTAGATTGACAAACATTTATTAAACGTTAAACACATTTCGATTGAATTCAATTCCAGTTGAATCGAAGATAATATAGTTACACAGATAATGCAGTATATGGTAACTCTGCCGATCACAGATATTACAATATGCGGTAGCTTTGCCGGTTACAGATATTGCAATACCTTCAAATGAGAATTAAATCCAGAGACTAAGGACACTCAATACTTCTGTCTACTTTTGCTTGCGAAGAAATACATATCTCGGTTTTATATTTAAAAAATAACCAAGATTTTATTTGATGATGTCATTAGCATGCTTCAACTCAAACCATTTTCAAACGGAATATGGAATATAGTTTACAGATGGAATTTCATATATTCTCAGCGAATAATATAAATTGTCGATAGCTCGCACTACTTCTTAATATCCATTTTAAATATTCACATGAGTTGGAGACATTCTTAGCTGAAATGTTGACTTGGAAATTGAAAATGTATTTCAATAACTGTATTACTTATAGGAATTTCATATTGCTATAGTAATATTTTTAAAATATTGCAAGTTAAATAATTTTGTTTGATAAATTGAAGTCATTCTACATAACTGTAATTTGACAAAGATTATGTCGATTTTAAAAGATGCATGAAAATATATTTAAGAAAAATGTGTTTGTTTGTACTTTTGTTTTGTTCATTAGGATGGTCTTCGGAGAAGAATGGATAAGCTTAAAAACTCAATAGAAGAAGCAAGCAAAGCGGTTGACAAAGAACGCGAAAAGAATGTCAGTCTACTGCATCTGATATTTCCACCGCATATCGCTAAAAGATTATGGTTGGGTAAGTGTAATGATGATACAAGCATATTAGTATCTGAAAGTAGAGTTATGAAACATGCATATGGAAAGGAGCATCATACGGGAGCAATGGCGAACCCATGGAACGCGTGTTATTAAAAGTGCTCGTCCACAGTCTGAGCACGCACGCACGCACGCAACGCATTGATCGTTTAGTTGATGACATACGTCCATTACAGTCGCATTTTTCATAGATGCTTCTATGAAAAATGTGACTGCAGTACATAACACAGTACATTTAGCACGGCAAAGAACAAAAATGTGAAATAGGAAACGAAAATCATTTATTATTTTAATTTTTTAATAATCTATTAATAAAATTTCTTGATGGGATGTCTATGACATTAATAAGTATATTCTTAAGCGTTGATACGTAAAGGTTCACCATTCCAGCAGGGAGGACCTACTTGCTGACTAGAAACGTCATATGTATTTATATACTATATATATATATTTATATAGATGAGATTTTTTTTATTTTATTAATCTTCCCCTAAGTTGCGATACCGTTAAGACCCCTAAAATATATTTATGATACATAAAACCGACGAATTTACAGCGGCACCTGTAATGTATTCACTAAAGCTTAGAGTGTTTCTGTAGCATTATTAAAGAAACTGGCTTATACGGCCTAAACCTTCCTGAATATTGTACTACGGTCAATATAAAATTTCATCTATTGTTATGTTGTGATAGACCTTTTTATTTCACTTCACTTCACGAGCTAATCTAACCTTTTACCGTCTTTTTATGAGGGTGTTGACGTGAATCAGTTCGTTTGGAGTTTGTATATTTGATTTTATTTATATTTTTTGTAATTACGCTTAGTTTACATGTCTTTTTAAATATTATGTTTTTGGTGTTAATGAAATTGAATCTGTTTTCTCTTAGCAATTTTTTCTTGAAAATATACCTAGTAGTATTGACTTATCATTTGTCATATGTATTTTTTAAATTATATTTTTATATTATATATTTAGTCCTTATTATTCAAAAGGGTGTTGTTTCTAAAAAAATACCTATCATAAAAATGAACCGTCTACACTTACGTTAGTACTTGATTAAAACCACTGGCCGCCTAAAGCAAATTGAAAACACTAGAAGAGGAAACTTCAAATTGATGTCTGTTACTTATACATTTTGGTTGAATAATGGTTGGAATCTGGTAGTAAAGTTAGTCCTCGTCTTATAATAAGACGGGAACAATTTATAGATATAGCTGAGCTCAGGTGAGGTGCAGTCTACATCGCGCTTAGACAGTTTCTACGAGAACTTACATAATATACGACTATATAAAGTTTATAAACTACATCGGTTGCAGTACCATCTCCGTGCTAAAATACACAGCCAGGGGAGATACTTTCCCTGTAGTCAAATTTATTAAATTGACTACATCTGATAGAAAGTAGTAAGAAATACTTATACATATGTTATAGAAATAATAAAAAATAATTTGTTTGCTATTTCTATTAGGTGTAAGAGAATAACATTATGTAGGACAGGTAAAGCATCACACGAGTTTCTTTAATTGCGAGGGTGACCTTTAGCCAGAACTAGGGTGTGGAGCACTCCCTGCTGGATCCCTAACTCTTCCCCCAAAAATGAGGGTGCGCCAAGGGCGTATGATGGTATTCCATCCGCATTTCATCTAATATTGCCCCTGCCGCCTATCAAGCTGTAGGGACAGTGCATAAAACATTTCCGTATGACAAAAAAAGAGGTCATATATTAACATTTATTATTATTGATCACATACATAATTCTCTGGGAATATATTTTTAATATTTTATAGGTGTCAGATATTAATTGAATGGATAGCTGCTTCGAACACTTTGTTTCGAACTATTGAGCATTCGACGTATACATACTACCCTAACGCGAAGTTAGCTTTTACTGAACTTGACAGGGTGTAACAGCGATTATAAACAGTTTAACTAGTTTATCTCAAACTTTGAGCTCGCACAAACTTAATATAAACCATTAATAATATATAATAATAAGTTAAAGTCATATATGAGACGGCGTGGTTATATACATTGGCTTTATGATGGCCCTGAGATCTATGATTCAATTCGCAAATGATTTAAAACAAAAATAACCACCAACCAAGTGTCTAAATTGGTTTCTTCGTAGATTCGGTTACGTCTTAAAAGTTTACTCTACCAAAATAAAATTTATCAATTTTTGATTTGGTATTGAAGCAAGGATTCATGGCGTGTCCTGTTCAACATTTAAAACAACTTAGAAACCATTTTCCGACCCAACTTTCCATTTATACAATGATTATTATTTATTATCATTAGTAAATCTAGTTATAAAGGGATTTTCTAACTACTACTGATAGGAATTAGCGTGTACCGATAAAATACGTAATGGCATCAAAGTACACTAGACTCCCCGTAATTAATCGATTTCAAAATTAGCTAATAAATTAATTAAAGTAATAAATACCTTAAAATACAAATGAATACTTAATCAAATTGATTAGTTTAGTTTTGTTTAGTCTGTCAAAGATTTCGCCTAAATTTCATCCGTAACCGACTTAAGGTTTCCCATTCTCAAATTTAATTAAATCAACTGGAACGGCAAGGTGTCAAAACTCTGAAATATTGCGTTAACAAAGTTGTTAGTTTGTACAAACAAAATGGTTTATGTAATTTCAAAATCTAGTAAGTTGTATTATAAATAGAATAAATAATATTAAAATTAAATCAACAAAGAGTTGCAGGTTAAGTAAGAAATATAAATAGGATGAGTAAGGACAAAATATGCGTAGAATGTGACGTCATACGTTGAATACAGAACGATCCGATTTATGGAAACAAAATATAGTTATTAAAATCTTTTCGACTTTGGTTAGCCAGGTGATTCAAGAGAACAAAAAATAATAATAATATCTTGTGGACTTTAGTCACACAGGTGATTTGCCTCTAGATGATTTCAGGAAACACAAGGACAGAAAATAAATCCGCAAAAATCTGTCGTTTGAAATTTCCGCGCGTTTTTTTTCCGTAAGTGCGGATATTCTCATATGATTCAATGTGTTACAGAATTGCGATGTGGATAATCCCTAACATTTAACGTTTTATTTGTTGGTACGTGTAAACTATATGTGTATATTTTGGTGTGAAGGAAAATACGAATAAATAGGTTTGCATATATAAAATGGAATGAACTGTTTTACGTTTGCTTACAGTCGGCGGGTGACAGACAGTTTGGTGTGACCGCAGACTAAATTGGAATTTAGTTTGCAGTTTAATATTAGTTATTTATTTTATGATGTTTAAGGCTAATAAGTTAATGTTTATCGGATTGTTTTAAGGTGAAAAGATAGAAGCTAAAAGCCACGATGACGTCACTATGCTGTTCAGCGACATCGTTGGGTTTACATCCATTTGTGCGACCGCCACACCGATGATGGTTATTGCAATGTTGGAGGATCTTTACAGCGTCTTCGACGTGTTTTGCGAACTACTAGACGTCTATAAGGTTGGTATTCCTTTGTACTGTTCAATAGGTACGACTAAAGTAGTAATAATACATAAAAATCATAACAGTAAACATGTGCTAACAAATATGGAAATAAGAAGCGCGTTAGTTTTGTAACTAGATAAAAAGGTAAAGTACCTGTCTACACACACGTGTATTTTAAAACACATTATATGAATGTTTAAAAAAAACTAGCACAACTATAAATTTGACTTAGAGCATAGGCAAATCATACGTTATATATATTTTTTTATAGATATATGTATTAGCTTAGTATCTATTAAACACATTCAAGTTACAATAAGACTCTGTCTTATTATTAATGAACGGCACATTCTAAAAATGAGGCTTTAGTGAGAGGTTTTGTTTATATTAAATTGAAGCCTAAGTTTAGGAGTAATAATGAGTCTAAAACTAAATAAATAATTTAATTCAACGTAATTAGGTCTTATTCTTGTCGAACTTCAAGCATCCCTAAAGTGCTAACTGTCAAGTTGCTTAAATTTCCATTAGTGATTTTTTTGTAATATTTCCATTTAGGTGGAGACTATAGGGGACGCGTACTGTGTCGCCAGTGGATTACATCGCAAAATTGATACGCATGCCCCGCAAATAGCGTGGATGGCTCTACGCATGGTCGAAACATGCGCACAGCACCTTACTCATGAAGGGAATCCAATAAAGGTATTTAAACAGCATACACACACAATGGGCCGCATACACGAGTATGACGTAATTAAAATAATTACGATCGAATGCCTAAATTTAAATTATGATCGAATGCCTAAATTTAAATTATGATCGAATGCCTAAATTTAAATTCGGATTGAATGCCGAAATAAAAAAAATCTTATTTAGATGAATCTACTTCTATTATTATGTTGAGCAGTTGATTACTGAACATAATAATAGAAGTAGATTAAAGTTACCATATCTCTCGATAATCTATGTCGCAACAACAACTATCAGAAATGTTAAAATTCATCAAACAACTTTGCTACCCATGCGATTTACCATTTGCCTTGTTACTGAGTCCTCGATATTTCTGCACTTTGCAAGCGGTATGATGACGGAGTAACTGAAGTCTTGTGGTTGGATGTTATTGGCAGATATATCGATTTACCCTGCTTCGAAGCCTTTTGCGTTCGACACCCGTACTATTTGTTCACAATGTTCACACCACCTACTCGCATCTTTTCCAAGTACACAACACTCACAGTTGTATCTTTAGTCGAGAGAAGTAATTGATAAATGTCATAAATTAAGCAAACATTTGTAACCAATAGACGAAAATTATAATATATTAAATCTGTTTATAGCTAATAAAAAAATAGTATTCTAAATATGAACAGTTCTTAATTCATTCAAAATCTTGTTCATATTGGCAAAAATATCTGCTTTTAAGTAAATACTTCTCTAGAGTATATACGAGTGTTAGTGTATTAAATCTGAAACAATATTCTACATACACGAACAAGTGGATACCAGACTCTCGACATTTGCCGAATAAAATTGTGCCAAATCACCGACGTTCATGTAAAATATAAAAAGGACATGTTAAAAACCACAGAACAGAAAAAAACGCTATCAACAAGGGGCCATGGAAGTTGAAAACGATATCTTTCTCTATCTTTCCCGTTCTTAATTTTACTTATAGTTTGCAAATTTCTTAAGCTATCATATCTTTCTATCATCGGTGATCTTAATTAAAAAGTAATGGGAAGCAATAGTGAGCGGAAAACAGATAAAAACTGGATACCTAATTGGAGATACATACAATAAAGTGCGTGCATGACTAAGAATATCGGCCATCATATACTGTGCCTCAATAGGTACTGCTGCAATCCTTAGTATTCTCTCCCGCTCGCACCGATGCGCTTCCGTATTTCAAACTTTTTAAATTGGATTCCCATGCCTTCATACGCATTTCCTCAAGAAGGTTATGTTCTGTGGTAGAGCCCACAAATCTATGTATATATGGGCTATATGTTTATGACGAGTTCGTCTACGTTCCAATCGAGGGATTGATATCTGTTATGGCTGGTTTACACGTGATTAAGTAGAGAAGTAAGTTCACTACTAAAGAGATTAATTATGATTAAGTTTTTACTTGCTACTTATTGCTTATGTGAGTGTTTACTAAATATATGTTCTGTGGTAGAGCCCACAAAGTGTTTATATAATTTAATTAAAATTAAGTGAAAGATCTACTTAGTACTCATCTACTTAATCACGTGTAAGCCAGCCATTACAGACTTATATATTCGTCGTCTGCACCCTGACAACCTTGGGCTATCTGTTCTAGCAATCACTAACAATTATTAGTTGCGGATACTTACAATTACGCGCCATACACACACGACTCTAACACAATTCACAAAATCCATCTATCTTCTTCTAACACTGCCATCCACATTCAAGTTCATTAATAAACTTTACGATTATGGTACTGAATATAAAATGGAAATAAAAAAAAACAGGTACAGAAAAAAATACCGCGTCATTACAGAGACGGCCTCCATCATAAAATTTGGCAGCAGTCCAATGTTTACTAGACAGTTGATGCAAATTTTCATCGTAATTTACGGAAAAAATCTGTTACCGGAGGAAACTCTAACCAATTTGTATAATTAAGTAGGTAAAAGTCGTTTGTGGAAATTAGATTTTTTTGCTAGTGAACGGGAATTAAACTGAAAGAGTAACATTATTTGATGAAATCGAATCAAGCTCTAAATCCTAGTCTAAATTGGTCTCTAAATCCTGTTATTAAACAGGATTTAGAGACCAATACTTCATAAACCAACAATGTTATTAGCAGTAGCGACATATAAATAATTTTTTATTACCACGACACCAAATCAATGTCAATGTTATAAAAAAAAGTATCTATACTAATATTATAAAGAGGAAAGATTTGAGTTTTTGTTGGTTTGCAACGAATAGGCTCCGATACTACTGGGTCTATTTTAAAAATTCTCTATGAGGTTAACTTAGGCTATATTTCATCCCGAAAAACAGCAAAAAGGAGATGAAAACGGGAGTGGAAGTTTGTATAACGAATTAAACGTTACCGTCGTTACCATTACTTACGATTCGTCATTGTGTATTTATATCCGTATCGTTACACTAAATACTAAACTGAAGCAGTCTAATTAAACATGTGATCAGCTGCTACGAGAACGTGAGCACAGTGAAGAAGCAATAAAGAAAATTATTGCCAAAATTCACAATTGAAAAACGAGCTCGCTGAACTGCACTCTCGACATGAAGAAGTGCTTTATCGACGCGAACAACATCCTTAGTAGTTGCAGTAAGGAATTTGACCTTATGAGAGGACTCTACACCGCATAGATGACCTAGAACGAGAACTTCGGGTAGCAAACTGTCAAATCAATCAATATGCTGAAAATCAACAACTGCAGGAGACTCAACATACTCAAAGCCTCTTCGAAGAGTTCATAACATCACCTGGAACACCCTTGACCCCATAATATTTAATTTCTACCAAAAGAGAAAAACCCGTCGCCCACTAAGTAAAAAAAAAAATGTACGAATTAATAAATTACGTAAAAAAAATATATATATATAATTAGAAGTAACCAAGGCCATTATAGAACCATTACTCTTAGAAAAGAAAAAAAAAAGTAATAAAAGAAACAGTTTTAAATTGAATGAGAGGTGATAGGATACTTACATCTACATATTCAGAAGTAGCATGTTTTTTAGAAAATTTGGAAAAAAATACTTAAGTGCACAAAAATAAATAAGTGACCAAATAATGTCAGCTACTGAGTTAGTCGATCTTTCTAACAGCATTATATGCTGGAAGATATGAACTCTTTATTAAAAATTAAATTAATTGGTTCAAGGAATGTGCCTTTCATCTGCATTATCTGGTAACAAGCAGAGTGTAATTGAACAAGATCTCTGTCATTCATCTGCCATTTCACAATTAATAAGTACAACTTATAATACAAATCCTTTAAGACCAGCGGTGTCAAATAATTTAATGATCAGTAAAACAAAGTCTAACTTCTGTGTTAGTAATTCTACTAACCTAAATAATACCCATTTCCAACTTAGTTCTAAACTGAAGGGTTTGACTGACAAAGATTTAGAATTAAAATTATCTGCAAAAGAACACGATGTTCATATATATTGTATAACGGAGCATTGGCTAAGGCCTTGTAAAAATCGTTGCATTTAAAACATTTTCAAATGCTGAGTTCATATATACGTAGGAAAGCCCAGCGGGGAGGATCATTAATATTTGTAAATAATATTTTCAAGTTTAAGGAGCGAAAAGATGTAATAAATCTCTCAGTAGAATGTCATATTGAGCTATCCTGTGTGGAGTTGAATAGTATAATTGTAGAATGTGTATACCAACCGTCTCACTGACTATGGAACTTTTGAATCTGTTATGGAAGATGTACTTAGGAAAATACAGACAGAAAACAAATATTTGGTTATATGTTGTGATTTTAATATAGATCTTCGAGTGAACAGTACAACATTCGTTCGTTTGTTATCATTATTTAAATGCTTCAATCTATTTAATCAACTAGTATTCAACAATCTTACATCTGACCATTACGGACTGAAGACCACATATAGGATATATATCAAAACAAATTGGAATATAATAAACCGAGAAGCCGGCAAGGAGAAAAAACAAATACGTGAAGATATTCTGACACTTCAATGATACGACCATCAAATCTCATGATAAATTGCTTATATATTTGATGAGTATTTTATAAATATAATAATTGAAATAATATCTTGTTTAAATTCTTCATCAACTGCGGCAAAGGCTTTTTTAGAAAAACGTGCCTTGCCTTTATTTAAAACCCGGAAAGTAAAGGATATTATATTGTTAATGAATATTTAAACGACAAAACTGCTTAGGTGTTAAATATGGCTTATTTTTATGTATATTAAATTATTGATCGGTGAGCTTGTTTAACAAGATATTTTTTCTATTAGCGAAAACACTGTTTATCATTTATGTTTTCTAATATTATTGTAATGGAAAGTGACTTCATATTTTAATGAAGTCATTTTATCTTGACGCAATCTTGATGCTCTATATAAAATAAAACAGGGAGAAAAAAGCAGCGCTTGCCGAGTTTCTTGCCGGTTCTTCTAGGTACAATGTCTCCCGCCGTAGATTTACGAAAAGATGGCGTAGCTCTCGACTTTCACAAGTGCTTGTAACAGCCTAGACTGACTAAATAATTTTGATTCGATATCCAAATAAACAGTTGCCTAAGGGCTACGTGGGCGACTTAAAGTACGTATATTTCATAAAAATATTAAACAGCTTTATTAACTTTTGCTTAGGTCAAAGTAATATTTAATTAAGATTGTTGTTTTGTAAAGAATTAATGAACGACAATTTTTAAGAAAGTAAATATGCATATTTTTTGTAATAAACTGTGACACGCCATTTTGAGTCCTAGTCTCTTGCACTAAGAGTTCAACTCGTTAACATACCGTATATAAACATCAAAATTACATAAACGCTGTTTCTAAAAGAAGTTTTTTATGGGGAAATGTCGACCATCTAGATAATCACTAGGGTTTTTCTATACTCCTAGCTTGAAGTCCTTAAGGATCTCACCGTCCCTACCCTATTACGCGACCAAAAGCAATTAGATTGTTAAAAAAAAAGTTTATAAATCCGAGGATATTTGAGTTCTTCCTAACTCCAAATATAAGACAGAAATTTTTCTCTAGCGCTATCCAGAATATTTATTAAAACTCTATTTAAAAAAAAAATATTATCTATTAGTTACATACACTTGTACGCTTAGATCTTTTTAACTACATAACAAATTTTAGTACGGTTTTCTTCAATATACATGTGATTTAACACGTAGTTTTATACGAATAAAACAGGGCCACATAATGTATTATAAAAAAATAAAGCTCTTTAAATTGTAATAGATTGTAATACGACTGAACGCATTGTTTTAAAATTTTTAATTCTTTCACCAGTAGAATAATTTATTACCAAGCAAAATTATTTTGTTTTCCGGAAAATGCTACAGAAACAGAAGTGCAACATTTAATTTGGCTAGATTGCTATAAACTTTAATTAAAGGAAAGTAAGTAATTATATTCGTTGGTGATTCTGATTTGGGTTATATGTTTTTAAAAGAAAAAAATATATTAAAGATTAATAGGCCGTAAATAACTGATATCGCGAATAAGAGAAACTTTTGTATATAATCTATTTTTGTAGCCCAATAGCTAAGTTGCAAATTAATTATATCATAACTTAAACATGCAGAATAAGTTCTATGCATCAAAACTATTCTCTCAGAATTCTACCCTCTTATTCAATTGTAAAATGTATGCTAACTTATTACTAATTTTCATTCACAATAACTTTAATTTGTTTATTTCTATCAACATTTTTAAATTAAATATCAGTATTATTACTAAAAAGTGTTAAAAAAAAAATCTTCATTTTCTTTAGTATACTGAAAACCAATAACTTTATATTATTGTATTTTTTATTAAAAAAGTCGAATCATCTAATAAAAATATTTTCACCGCCATTTTCAACCCTGAAGTTTGCGTTATTTGGGTTTTAAATAAACACGGTCCATAAAATTCTCCCGCATAATCCAAATGGCTTAGTTCTGTTTAAATAATGGTCGCGGGGTTAAGCTTTTGTTCATATTGGTTAGATCAATAATCTGACATATTAAGTTTAATAAAAACTCATTTAAAATTACTGAATTTCTTTGTTGATGATTGGCTGTTAAAATTGAATTTTATTGAAACAAGATCTTTTGCATACTTGCAAATGGTTTTCACGCACGTAATACTGACGCTGACGGATGTCCCTATGCCTATTGAACGTTGGTCCTTTATTTAAAAAAATCAATTCTATTATAATTACTTTTTTGGCTAAAAAAATTGGACAGTGTTAGTGAGGTTATCATGGGCACTCCTGGCGGATGTTTCCCCGGAATGGAAACTAGCTAGTTAAAATGTAGAGTCATACCACTAAAACCTTTCGATGTCCATCATTAAGTTAAACGAAGAGCTGAAATAGTCCGAAAATGTCAGCTTTTCCTCCAGATGTACATGTCCTTTAAATGTAAAATAATTTCTCTGGATATTATTAAAAGCGATAAGTTAGGTTCGGACTCAGTAGCCAACAGTGTATAAAATTAAAGTACCTACTTGGCATATTTTCACAACAACACTTTCCAATGTTCCCCTCTTAATTCTGTCGAGTCAAGGTTGAATTTTCACAAAAAGTGCCAAGTCATTGACATGATTAATATTCAACTTAAGACTACCTATATAATAATTATTAACTTTTAGATAGGTTTTGAGCACACGATGAAATAACGAATACTAGCTTCAGTTTAATACAATGTTTTAAAAACATAGAACTGTAGTAGTGTAAGCTTTGCTATTAGTATTTTTAACTATAATTTCTAGATCACAATGAAAGAATTTACTAAATATTTTCGGATGTTGAAATTACAATAGATTATTTGGAATATTTGTTGCAGATAAAAAAAGTAAGTAAAAATAAGTATTGCTTATAGTTTTTGGTCGACACGTTGGTTGTTTATCATCTCCCGCGCTACGAACCAATAAAATTTTATATATTTTTTACGATAAGCAATATTTAGAACGACTTTCATGTTTCTCTGTTGTAAACGAGAAACGAAATATGGACTAGGAAGGTGGGCATCGCAAAAGTTCAAGTAAATCGACTGAATAATTAGATTTAATGGTGCACAGAATTATTTATTTAATTCTTTCTATTACAAAATTTAGATATCATAAGTCCCATTAAACTATATTAACAGTTTGACTGCGGATGGGTTAGGAGTCTTATTTTGCGTTACATATAATGCTACTTGTTTAGTTAAGCTTATTCATTTACATATATGTAAAGTACAATATGTGCTACATTCTATCCATTAAATAGTTCTACAGTAAGTTCGAAATATTTTGAGGTTACTTTCATGACCAATCTTGTCAGGTAAGCTATTTAATATATATGGGACTCTTTTTGTTTAGAGTTCTATCACCATAATAATTGTTAATTCTGGGAACTATATATGTATTTACTGCAATTGCTCTAGTATTATGTTTATGCGAGACCACTGGGTGACGCTCCCGTAACAAAAAATACGTTAAACTTCATTCAGTAAAAATATTATTTTTCATACGCTCAAGTCTGTTTGATGATGCAGACGTGATCTACATCACGTCACTAGAGAATATGTCTAATAATAATAATTTGATAATATACACTTTATTGTTATTATTTCTATAGAAACTGATAAGAGCATAGTGAAATGCTAACGTATTTTGTTCCAGCCAAGAGGACCGGGTATAGGACCGGGTATTATACGTCTTTAATACCTGGTACTATAAGTATTTGAAATGCAGCGCGATAGTTTAAAAGTGAATATTTCTTCTCTCTCTCACTTAGATGCGTATTGGACTTCACACAGGCACGGTACTCGCAGGTGTCGTTGGCAAGACCATGTTGAAGTACTGTCTATTCGGGCACAACGTGACATTAGCAAACAAGTTCGAATCTGGTTCCGAACCATTGAAGATCAACGTCAGCCCAACTACTTACGAGTAAGTTATATTTTCTTTTTATTTTAGTTGTTTCTTCATTGTTCGTTCTGCATTCCGCATTCTGCTTCAAAGTAGGAGGCGAATTAATGCGGTCTGTATCAATTCGGCTCGGTGAGCCTAACCAAGGCTAGGCTTTACGTTACGTGGACCTCTTGCTGGATCCCGGGTTCCCCGTTGGATATCGCAGCGTATTTTACCAGGTACTCGCTTGAACCTGTCCTTTTTAGGATGGGTGAGGGTCAGAGAGCTCTGGTTTACAGTAAGGTGCATTACCAATACGTTATTAAAAAAAGGCTTTACGTTACATCGACTCTTTATTATGAATTTGCTTCTATTATAATATAAAAATAATTCATATATTTCCCTTAATCACAAAAATCATAACTTCAGTTACATTTGCGTTACCATACTAGAACAGAAATCTATGCTGTGCCTTAAAGTAGTGTTTAGTCATGTGTATTTTCTGGAATTTAAACCATTTACAGGTAAAATAATATTTCATTCAATTTCATTAAACATACCATACTTCCCAAAAATTAAACCCGCGTAATTGAAGATTTATCAAGTCACAATTACAAATTTGTATTTCGAATACCTGAGCGCTATAATTAATTTCATTGCGATTTTATGGCGCGTTGTAAAATTTTGATCCGAACATTAATTTATTTTAATAAATCGCAATAATTCTCTTTTAATCCAAACACGACAAAAGGTCCTCATTTTGAATGAAGGGATTGCGAATTTACATTGAAAAGCGTAATAAAGAAACCTTCGTGTTATTTTAAATACAAAATGGCTGTTATTGTGGAGCAGTGAGGCGTGAGTGCAGTGAGTTTGTCGGCATTCACTGCTTGATATCTGTTACAATGAAAACCGATTTAAATCTATGTAGCTATTCTACTGGATACAATTGGTTTTTAAGACATGGTAAATCATTAAAAGATTATCCTAGGAATAAATTATTTAATTACATTTTTACGACAATATACAGATTAGCCTTTATTTAAATAGATAAAATGCATTCTAACTAAAAATGGTGAATATATATTCTATGATCTCATTTGTGACAATTTGTTAAATTAAGTTGTAACATCACTTAAAAATATAATTTAAAAATTTCGTTACAATTTATTATAAAAACATTTCAGTACATATGTTATGTTAAATTATTTTACATTTTAAACAGCTGTTGCTCCCAAAGAAACTTCTACAGTAAATTGCTTACAGACATGACAAAATAAGTCAAGAAAATAAACACAAACATACTGAATTTGGCTAATTCATTGATAACCTTAATGTTTACATGTATTTTGTATACATATGTCTTCTAAAAATTTGCAAATATTGAAAATAGTAAAATTTCTATTATATATCCTATGAAATAACAATTGGAGTACGGGTGATATTTTGATGTCGCAAACTGTTGTTTTTCTGAAAATAATACCAGAAATCAATATTGTCGTTGTTCTTGTTTTTATTTTATGCACTTGTTACATATTTGGTTAGATCGGAACAATAAAAGATTATTCTAAAATCACAGTAGTTTTTATTAATATATAAAAGCCATAGAGCAGAACCACTATTGTCTATACATAGAATTATCATAGACAAAAACATCTTTTTTTCGTCTTAGTAATACAACAGTTCTTATATTCAAATTCAATATATGTTTAACGGAAGAATGTATATAAATATATTTATAAAAAAAAATATAACGATACTAGCTCTTTTCACTGCATATAAATTCAATTTTTTACGATAAAAGTTCATATAATGTGATTTAGGGTTTTATGATGGATGTCTGTTTACGATGGGCTCATCCCCTTAATGAATGATAGATAATAAAGGGTAATTTTGACCAGTTGTTTATAAAACCTCTAAACATATACGTACGTAAAATGTACGCATTTTATTTGATAGAGTGGTTTGCATACGGGTGTTATCTATGAGGTCCCGGGTCATGTAATTATGTAGCTTTTCTTTATTGCCTCATATACCATATCAGTTATGCATCTTTCCGAGAATATTTATGAGACTTATGTATTAACTGTAATTAGTTTTGATTACTTCTATAAAAGATTATCTTCAACAAATTTTACTTATATTACAAAAGGTAAGTAGTCAGCAACTGATACACCAACTTACTGGTCTATAGGAGGACAAAATTTTCGAATTGCCAATAACAAGGAGGCTTCCCGAAAAAGCTCTTGAGAAATGGAATTCCTTTCTCTTTCCTTTATACGAAAAATTATTTCATTATAAAAAAAAACATACTTTAATTTAATTTTACATTAAAATAAATGCATACGATTCTTCTTGTTTCTCCTAAAATAGATAACAAAGTATACTTTCGCAGGTGGCTAATAAAATTTCCCGGTTTCGAGATGGAACCGAGGGACCGCTCTTGCCTCCCGAATTCTTTCCCCAAGGACATCCCTGGCACGTGTTATTTCCTACACAAGTATACTCATCCCGGTACAGACCCCACGGCGCCTCAGGTAAGCATAAATAGTAACAAAGTTTCTTTACTGACACGGAGACGATTTTTAGCAATAATTTTACGTATTTTTGCATTTCAATTTTTGAAAAGATTTGAGAAGATGCTATCATAATCATTTCTAAATAGATCGTTTTCTGATTCATTTTTTACTCTTTGACTTGAATATACATATATTGCATTTGCTTATTCAACTACCTTGAAGCTTAAATCGGTTAAGGTATTTTTAACATATAAAAATCGATCTCTTATTGTTAAACATCGGCGATACATTGTTTGTTTACTTTCAAAGAATATATTTGACCTTGAATTCCCATTTCTATAAATAGAAAGCAGCTTTGTTTCATTACCCATTATAAAAATCAAGGTTATAACATACTGACGTTTAAAATAAAAATCTTTGTATAATCATTGATTACGTTAAGATATAAAGTGGTCTTCAAAATTAATGACACAAATAACCAGGTAAACAATTTTAAAACATAATGCTACTAGATAAAACGAGACGTCCGTCAAATCAGAATCACATTATTGATGTCAGACTCAACTCAAAGAGTTTTGATGTGTGCTCCAGGCGCAATAAAAAAGAAAAAGATACTACCAAATACAAAGATTTAAATAAAGAACAGCCCAAAGGGTCAGTCAGAATCAGCGAGGAAAAGGTTAGACGTGTTCTCTTAAAAGAATATTTTGTTAGCTTTTTTTTTTTATTTGAAACGTTGGCAATTCCCCCGAATCAATACTGGATACAAGGGTGTCGACACGTTCGTCCACTCAGATTCAAATTCCCCGCTGATTGTGCCAATTTTCAATATGGCGGCTGTATAAGAAATATTTTTTACGTGCAAGAAATACATGATTTCTTATATTTAATTATTGTGCTCCTAAACCTATATTTTAAATATATATCATAGTCGAAGTTCAGTATAAACTAAACAAATTAAATAAAAATTGCCAAAAAAATCTCATATACTTATCGATATTTAATTTCTTATTACCTATGTCATCTATAACTTTATTTTATAGTTAAAATAGTTAATACGTAACATTAAAAACATTTTTAAAATAAACTTAATCAATAAAATATTTTAGCTCTTTATATAACTTAATACTAATCGTATATTATTATCATTGAAGAATAGGGACAAGCAATATTCACGGTACAATTATTTTACAGCCTTAAAAGCGCACTCTAAATACCTGCCAATCTATATAAGGCCTCGATAATAGTTAACAGCCCATTCTAATTGTTCTATTACCCATAAAAGAGAATTGAGTGCCTTATCGATCATCAATATTATTTATTATTTTGTTCAAACAAATGAGAAACAAATGCTATTTACAATAAGCGGTTAATGAAACACTGTAATCAATTTATAGAAAATAGTGTTTATATAACACTTTCATAGCCGATCATGGACACATTATGGCATATTCGGCTGAGAAAAAATTGGTAATGACTTGTTGAAATTCCATGTTATTTAATATATTACTTGAATTAGGTTTTATTTGAAAAATGAGTTAGTGATATATTATATATATAATTAAGGCGAGATTGTCCGAAATTACCACTTTTTAAACGAATTTTATTATAATATTTGCCAATAAAAATTATTTCTATTAAAATTAAACAACTGTCGATTGTTTTCTAAAAACAAAAACATATATTTCAGCAACCGTTCCGATAGAAATAAATCGTAGATATGACTCTAAATAGCTTTTTTTGGATCGATGTCACGTCTAATATATTTTACCCTAACTGTATAAAAATTTATACAAAATAGGTTTTGGATCAAAAGATTTTTTCAACTGCATTTTGTTTCTGTAATTATAATGTTTATGCGTATTTCTTTGCGTATTTATATGGAAACGTAAGCAGAGGCACAATAGAATTGTATAGTTTAAGAACCCATCCTTTGCTCCAAAAGTTCAAGTTTTGAATCTTTGAATCTTCAACGAACCAATTAATTTTGCAACCTAAAAGAGGTTTTATATGCTAGATATATTTATAGTATCAAATTTATTAATCTCCGGTTACAAAGTATGTAAGTATTAAAATGAGCTAAGACTTAAATTTTCTTTGACAGGTTAAACACATAGAAGACGCATTGAAAGATTTTGGAATCGGTCAAGGGAAATCAAACGACGAAATAGTAAACGATGAACCTACTTAGTTGATAAAAAAAATACAGATGCTAATATAAAATTAGATTCTTCAATTTGCTGCGAATGTAATAAAATTTATGCGAGACACTGTTAACATTGTAAATACTTATCTTAATTGCTTTGTAAACTGTTGATTTAAAAACTTTGTTCATCAAAATGTTTGCTGTAAAAATGTTTTAGGAAGTTTTAACACTCTTAAAAGTTAAGAGCCGCTTTCCTTTTGCAAACACCATTTAAATAAAGTCAAAGACGATGTCTAACCTATTCTTTTTTCATTGTGACAAGATGTAATGTATTTCCTAATGAAATTGTCATATAAAATATTGAGGGTTCATATATATAATGATGAAATTGATGTTATAATAATTATGATGACACGCGAAGCTGCAGATGATTATGATGAAATCGATGTTTATAAAATTGTACTTCTTAAATGTGATTCTTATAAAGTACTTGAACCTTTTGTACATACTAAACCAAACACGAACTCTATTAGATATTTAATTAATAGTGATCTATGGGAAGCTTTACGAAATTGTTTATAAGAGAATGTAAATAAAGTTGAATCTGGGATAATTACGACTTACATAGCTATAACGCATTATGCTGCATTTAAAAATTAATATTTGTGCGGCAATTTTGAGTGTGTTGCTTAGCATTGTGATTCTTACGAAAATGTATTGTTTTATCATTCTCTTCTAGATTTAAATTAAGCTAACTAGATCTTTCTTAACTTACTAATTCAAATCTTATCAACTTTATTATTCAAGATGAAAAGTAATTAACTCAAAATTGTTGATGATATAGCGTAGTTTAGCTTAGAAAATGTATAGATATAAAGTCATTTAGTTTAACATTCGCACCCTTCTTATCTAAATTTGTATCAAGGCAATCCTTATTCATGTTCGAATGTTATTTTACGTAAATGAATGTGGATCATTAATTTACAGTATACACCTGGAACGCAACATAATCAACCCAGAAGATATAAATGATATGAAACCTAAGAATATCATAAACCTCTGAAAGAGCTATTTTAATCCTAACGATGATTAATAATAGAGTGACTACTGTTCATAAAAAAAAATGTTAATTATAAATCTGTACTCTATCTGAGATGGTGGCTACATTTCCAAAATTGAGATGTACAGTCTGTGGCAAAGTGAGTTAAATCACCATAGAGTTCGATCTAATGAGATATGATATTTAAAGTCTCAGCGTTTATTTATAATTGACAAGCTTTTAAAACTGCATTAAGATTCGCTGCGTAGTTAAAAAATATCAGAGTACAGACAGAGAGAAGTGATTTTGTTTCATACTATGTATAGAGAGAATATATTACAAGGCATTTTAAGTCATCGCATTTTGTATAATTTTGCGCTTGGTGAGTTAATAAAACTTGAACTTAGTATCATAGTTTACTTTTTGATAATAAGGGTGCAGAATGCTGAAATATTAACCTACACACATTCCTTTACACAGGAAAAATTTGTAGTCAGTGCAGAAATTTTACTATTGTGTCCGTTATTGGTTTCCAATAACGGACATTATTAATGTTTTTTCATAATAAAGATTCCGGTCATAGAATATGTGATTAAAAATATTATCTCGAGCTCCTCCATTTTAATTCGATTTCATTTATAGGGGAGACCTGAGCTGTATTAGTGGATATATTAATAGCCTGCCGACGAAGATGTTTAATAAAGAATTTAAAATGAGCTTCGCAAACGTGTTGTATTGACGATACTAAACCATAGAAAGTAAATTTATGCACTGATTATAATATTATCCTGTATATGTAATGAGAGAAGCTATACGTTTAGTGTTGTCACAAAAAATTGCTTGTAATTGATAATTTCAGATGATTAACTGTTGTATGTTAGTGAAAAGCGTTCTTAATTAGTGGTTTCCAACGTTGTCTTAATGTGATTGTGACCAATTAGGAAAAGTAATTTTACCCCAACCTTGAAAGGTATGTAATACACATATTACAAGTCAATGCAGATAAATTCATTATAAAGTAATGGCTTTTGTCATTTTGTAGTGACTAGGTTTTGATGTTAGATTTAGTTTTGTTTAAAACACGCCTTAAATTAATTTCCAAATTGATATTGTTCACGGTTCTTTTATTTTCGGTTTTAATTATTAGGTTCTTTATTACACCTGATATAATAGGTGATTTATCCATGGAGGGTAATTGCCCATGAGTTGGAATCACTGGTTAAGATGATAATATGTTAACATAGCAAAATAAAAAAAATAAAAAAATACCTTTTTTGAAACCCACTTTTTAGATTAAGTCATTCATGTTAAGGACTCTTACTATACACACGAAAAAGCGTAAGTTCTAAAGTAGTTAATATGCTTAATGGAATTAAATACTTTTTTAGAATAACAGCAAATGATAATAGATTAGACCATTTGCTTTTAATCTTAATTACAATGTGTATAGAGTCCAAATTTCATTCTCGTTTCTTTTTTCGATTGTAATAACAGTTTTTTTTTCAATTAAAAACCAATACGATTCTATTACACCTTCTAGTGAATTAATTATGTAGCCTCATACTAATAAAAATTCATAATCGATATTTTTTTTTAATTATAGGTGGTTATTATAATTTTCATATATACAATCCACAAACTTAGATGTCTATGTTTAAATCTTAAACCAAGAAGTGAACAAAAAGTAGCATTCTCAATTTAAATTGCATGATTCCGGAGGGATATTTTCAAACCAAGTTTAATCACAATATATTAGACAAATGTTTATACGGACTTCCTATTGAGATTCCTTTAGAAAGAATCAAATTGCCACTATCAAGTTGTAATATAGATATATATATAACATTAGAATACCATTTAATAAGAACCTTATCAAATTACCTTCGAAACTAAATATATAAGTTTGATCGATGAGGGCCGTGCAACAAGATTTTACAATATTAATAATTTGCACCTAATTCATTGTATTTGGAGTAATAAAATTAGATAAAATTGTACGCGCTGACGTAGTAAACACAATAGCCTAAGCACGATGCTCTTACGTAACGGTTTTCAAAATTTTAGGGTAATGGAACATACACCAATAACCTTTTATTTACACTTATAATTATTACAAATTCAATACCACTTTATTCTATATGTACATACTAAGTCGGGCGTCAACAAAACTATAACTCCTATATTTGAAAGCTTTCTTATGAAATAAACGTATAAGATTACAAGCATTATTACTTAAACTACAGATCATCAACATTTTATTGCATTATATAAAATAATATTAGGTTTATTTTATATAGCCTAAAAATTATACCGTAAATAAATAAATATTATAATAAATCGTAAAAGTAAGTTAAAATATCTTTCAATTTGTGCGGTAAATTCATAATCATAGAAAATAGAAACTTCTGTTAGCGTTGAACAAAGAATAAACTCATGTCTCTATTGAAATTAACATAATCTCACAATCCGTTTCATGTTGAAAATTCACTTAATTTTTTTCCACTCCACAATACTCATTATAATAAATTAGCAAGTGAATTAAAAGATAAATACGTCGGAATGATCATTGAAATCTGTTTTGGAGGGATTTGGTTTTTAGCTGTAGAATATTTTGTTGCGGTTTAACCCGAATATGTGGTCATACCCTTTTAAGCACGCCGTAGATAAACATGTATATGTACATGTTTATGCCTGATGATAAAAGGGTGGAAATGTTGTCTGTCTGCGAAATTAGATAACCAACTTAAGGTCATTCACACAACACGGCTCCAACCCAGTAATTAACCATTGAATCGTATGTCATAAAATATATCTCATAACCTGAATATCTATAAGCCAATGGCAGGCTGTCGACTTCAAGTTATCAGAAGTGCGACTAACTTGATATCTCTAGCCATAGGATACGAAATGATAAAAGGGTGAAATAGAGAAAATTTATGACTTAAAATATTTCATTTAATTTAATTACTTTGATATGTCTTTTGGTGGCTAAATTTGGATGAAATGATTTAAGTTGTAAAAATTATTACCTCGAGCTACTCCGTGCTTCGGAGGGCACGTTGAGCCGTTGCTTCTGGCTGCATCCGCATTGGCCGAGCATAGAGGATCACGGCATCCTTAAATATTCATAAGGAAAGTCTGAGCCCCTGTAGTGGGGACGTAAAAGGGCTGATAATTATGATGGTTTAAGTTGGTCGGTCGGTGGGTTGGTTGGTCACACTGCTATAAAATCCATAACTCTATGCTTTATCGTTCGTTTTTCATTACTAAAGTGTATGTCAAAATAATGAAATGAAATAGCTCTAAAACATGTCTTAGACATATTCTGTGGCTAGAGTTAGATGAGTTAGGCGGACGCTCTGCAGGTTGTGGCCCGCGTTCGTCAAGCGCGATTACGGCGTTCCTACCAGGCGCATAGCAACGATAGCAATAGTTTTCAATTGCGGTGTGCGAGCTTACATCTTGTGAGCGACGCGTGGTTGGCTCGCTGGCAGCGAGCGTAATCAAAATTCGTGACATTGCCTTGCTGCTGACGAGCCGTGTTTTCTCCTTCTCAAATGATAACGAATAATTTTGGTAGTTTTAAATATAGAAATTGTGCTTGTATTATACATAAAATCTATAAACGATAGTCAAATAATATCCTTTGTTAGAGTACACCAAAGATTTGCTTATAATATACTAGTTTTTAATAGAAATAGCAAGTATATTCAAACACTCATGGCAGAAAGCAAGTAAATTTCAATATATATATATATATATAATAGAGAGTTTTAGGGTAACTAAATTTTTTTTAGTATATATATCATTTAAAGGTTATCATTTGGCTTAATTGTGTTATATTAAAAAATAAGAAATAGAGCTCATAATTGTCGTTTATCGAATACTATTCCAATATTTCTAAATACTGTAATGTAAGCAAAAAAATTATAAATATTTAAAAATGTTTTCCATTTAGCTACGCATTTACGGTAGTGTGTTTCAATACATTCCATGTATCAACCTGTATATATTGTGCAGTGTTGTGATAGAGTTATATATTAAGTCTAATATATATTAGAATAAGATTCATTATGCTATGCTTTAAGCGTAATAAGCGTATGTGGCACATATCGCATATTTTAATTTATAATTAAACATTTTATCTAGAGGACTGGTGAAAATCGGACAACGACCCAAAGTAGTGTGAGAGCATCAAAAAATAGAATTCTGTATTGTTTCCTCGAAGTGATGCCTGTTGTTTGTAAGGGGTGGGGTCAGCGAACTATAGCGTCTCGTACGAAAAAATGCAGCACTTCAAGGAAACGATACAGAATTCTTTGGCTAGCGATACGTATCGTTTCAATTTTCACATAATACTTCAGCCAATATCCGTTTTTTCACCAGCCCCAGGAATATAATATAGTCAATGTTGATAAAGAAGCTGTAAGTTTCAAATGTTAATAATTGTTTATCTCCAATTTTTCTTCTGCTGATTCGTGCATTTTAATTGGCCTGTTCGCGGTGTGCAGGTTGTTTTATAATGCTTATACGAGTAACACCCGCATGCGGTAAAACGACTACACTATTAACTGTTGATTTTGATTAGATTTTAGTCGGCCTTCGGGAAGATTTCGCGTGATGTATATCGACATTTTTTTTATTAAGAGTCCATATTTATTTATTTTATTACTACAAAAAATTACGTTTATTATGAATTCTTTGTATGACTTCAGCACGATTTTCAATCAATTTTCTGTGGTAATCAGTTGAAATAAAATTGGAAATGTATTACATAAATCTGATCTTTATGTGGTAACCCTAAATTTAATTGGTTAAAGTTAAAGTTATGAGGACCTCTGTGGCTAAGTGGCACGCACGATGGTTTCAAGGACTCGCCATCTCCGAGGTCCCGGGTTCGATTTTCGGTCGGTTCAATGTAGAGAACGAATTTTCCTATATTATCTAGGGTGTTCAGATTTCAGACTTTCGTTTTTTCAAATTTCCATAATACAGGTGATTTATCTGTTTAATTTGGTATCAGCTTTGCTATTCGGCAATAAAATCAGCATCGAACTTATTGTCGAGCTTCAAAATCCAAAAGAGGTTTAATTTCAATGGAACTTACGACGATGATTTTTCTCAAAACAGCACTGCTGAGCGACATATGTTGTCTAATATTTATATAATTTATTTATTGCTTAGTAAATTATGTTTGTAGTTATACACTGTAAGAAAATAATGATTTTAACACGTGTGCCTATAGCAGAGAGGAGCAATTTCTTGAGAAAATGGCATAACTTTAGCAGATATTTATAGCCAATGGACGAGAATTTGAATGGAATAAGAACTGTTAATAATAATATTCTTACTATTGACTGGTCTTATTTCATTCAAATTCTTGTTTATTTGTTAAAAATATTTGGTTAAGTAATTACTTTTACTCGACTATAGATACGGGTGTAAAAGTCCTTTAGACTTCTAGTCATTTGATTAAAATGTGTTATTTCTGCGTCCTGTTTTAATTTAAAACATTTATTTCCAATAAAATAATATTGCAATCAAATTATATCTATCTTGTAATCATAGATTATAACTAAGTACTTGTAAATACTCCTGTGCAGTTTTTACTTTGTACGCGATGTGGCGGCCTTCTATGCGATATGTTTAGAGTCTTAAAGATCTATTTAAGATAAATGGTTTAATAATACTCGTATTATGATAAAAATCTCACTATCAATGTAAGCTAATTTGTATTTCACGCTGTGTTGAATTTAATGTTAAGTTCGTAGTTTCTTGGCCGAGAAACTTTATAACTGTAAATGCACTGTTAGTAAAAAAACTATTGAAATAAATTGTTTCTTTCGTAAAAGGTGTTTTATTAAATTATCCAAATAGTATTCATTTTTTTATTAAGTTAATTGCCTATAATTCGAAGTACATTTAAATTTTAAAGCTTAAGCAAATATTTTTTACCGATTGACGAGAACATGAATGAAGTAAGAATTTTCGATAGCTAATAAAGTATTTTATCTTTTGATAGTTATTATTTCATTCAAACTCTTGTTTATTCGTTAAAAATATTTGTACTCAAGTTTAGTTTTTGATTATTGATACTGCACGACGACTAATTTATAACCACAATGGAATAAAAAGGTGCTGAAAAGGGGAAGACCCAAGTCTAAATTCTATACAATAAGTAAAAGAGTTAGTTCTCCTATTTTATATCAAGAACTTAAGAAGAAGACAATAGAAAGAGAGATTTATCGGTGGTGTGGGTGGTACTCCACTGACAAAAGCAACACAAATGTACTAGTGAAGGTGGTACGTTTGATTGGAATGGTATATCTAATTATTCTGGTAACCATTTCGAAGGTCAAGTATTTTGGTGAAGAAAATTGTACATTATCGGTCTATTATTCTCTCCAATGCCTTCCCTAAAGATGGAATCGAATTTAATCAAATGGGGAAAATCTATCCCTTGGGTCCAGTGTGGAACGGTGGGTGTTAACGACTGTATATGCAGCTGGTATCAACAGCTTCACGTGCCTTCCGAAGTAAGTAGGAGCTTGTGATAATATGTTTTTGGTCACTTATCCTATGGTCCGGCCCTTGCAAGAGTTGCTTATATTACACATCTCAGACTTAACGTGTTAACCAGCTATTCTATTCATGTAAAGCCGACATTCAGGCTATACTCTTAAAAATTCTAGAGATATAATGTGGAAAGTACAATTTAACTCAATTTTGTTACACAAACAGGCTTTACAGAAATCTCTTAAGACATGTCAAATTAACCAAAGTTCTCTAATAATATCATGTAGTCAAAACTCTCCGGGGTATATTGCTCAGCCAAAAATATTTTATTCCCTAACGAGTAAAGTTTCCGCCATATCGAAAACAGAATTCGGAATTACTTTGTTTTACGTTTGGTTATGTTACCTCAAAATTATAACAAGATAGACAAGCTATGGAATGGACAAGAAATTTGTAAACAATGATTATTACATGAAGTACTTTACGCCTTTGTAGGATATTTTAGTATTTAAATCTATTTAGTATTTAAATCTATTTACTTTGTTATTGTGAATTATTAAGATTAATTTATTTTTAGACAGTACCTTTGGTA